GAACAAAATGTGTTTATGGGCTACAATGAGTCCAAACTGCATTGTCTTCAATCACTTTGTAAAGCATATTGGTGAAAATCTGGAAATTCTTTTCCATAGCAGGGCATTAAATAAACAAATGCAATGGTGACTAAATTATACTCATGAGGGTTTATTTAATAAAGAAATAGAGATGTTTAAATGAATTAAGTGCTAGCAAAAAAAAACTCTGTTTTTACATTTCAAGAATATGTACTTTAGTAGGTGAGTAGTCCATTAATAAATCAACCTGCTGCCTTTCATAAAAGGACTTGTCTTATAGCTCTTATGGCATCCCCTTTTTAAAACTTAGAGACTGCCACATGTTCCTTTTTTATAAGTTTCCTATATGTGCATATTTGACTATGTAGCAGTTTGTGATAAACAGATGCTTAAGGTGATTGTAGCTGTTATAGTACACTTGCAAATATAATTTTACAAGGGAATTTAGGGAAGAAAAACTGTTGAACTATGAACAATAACTCTTCTTGAAACAAAAGATAACAAACTGAATGTGGGCCTCAGTTTTTAAATCACTGCCAGTTTTATGACCAATCTCACCTTTGTGACTCTTTTCCTTCCCTCTCCCATTCCAAAGTGCTCCTCCTTACCTTATTGTCTTACTTACTTTTTCCCTTTAATTATCACGTGTTTTTTTTTTTTTTCCAGAGAGTGGTGTTCTGAACATTTTACCAATGCTTTGCGTATTAATGTTGCTTGAACCTTAGAAGAAGGGTTATGTCCCAAAACCTTCTCCTGAAATTGTAGCTTTTAGCACAAATAAAAAATATCACAAACAGTTCTCAACTGTGCTGATAGACATATGGATAAATATTAGGTCAACAAAGTATGTTGATGTGTTAGATGGGTGGATTTTTCAAAAGAATAATGATTATGGTAGTCACCAATTTCTTCGCTCCAGTATTGTGAATGATCTTACCCACCATCCACAGTAAGCTGCATTTGAATTATTTTGGCAATCCATGGTAATGTTTTTTTTTATTATCCCTAAATCTAGGTACAGTAACCATCTGCAATACAGGTTACAAAAATTATATAGCCATACTTAGAAAATACATTTGGAACAATTTTCTTGGTATAATGTTGTTACTTTCATTTTTTACTTTAAATAAAAAGAAGTACTTACAGTATGTGTGCCTTGAACAGTGAATAGAAAAAAAAAAAAACATACAGTAATTGTACATACAAATATCCATGAGGATAGCTCATAGAAGTTTCAAAACAGACTGGGTGCCCAAGCATATTATACAAATAGCAGTAATTTCCTTATTGATTGTGAAATGCAGTTGTCACCTTGGATTTACAGTCCCTGGGCAGACTGGATAAGTCTGTTTTGATTTTGTTAGCTTTGTGATCTTTCCAAGCATCATACATTCTATTAAAAGAATACAGCTTTCTAGTCTTTTAAATGCTCCCACTGCTTTGTAAATGGAACAGATATATCAAGATGACTTTTTGGACTGGCTTTGCCAAAGAAAATCAACATTTACAAATGCATTCATCAGATTACTCCGTATGTCTTCATGATTTGTAAAAATGATTTTCCTCAGTCAGGGTTACTGAGATTTTGACACTGTTCATAGTTCTTAAAAAATCTTCAAAGCTGGTACTTCTCCTTTGACAATTACTGTGCTCATTATATAATGTAACAACAGTCACCAAATGACTTTTGGTGTACAATTAATTTCTTAAGAATTTACTTACAAGATAATCTTAAAGACTAATAAAAACAACAGTCATCAGTAGAGATGAAAAGAAAAAGTCTGAAGTTTACAAACTTTGCGGACCCTCATATACAATACCTGTGTTTCTTCCTATAAAGTGTTAGCTCCTCTTAACAGCTTCAGCACACACTGACAATTTCTTTGATGCAAGCAAAATTTTTTTTTATAGAACTGTGAATGTTCAACACATGGTAACAGTGAACCCAAACCTCATCCCTACTCATCAGGCATTAAAACATCTCCCATCTTCTGGAACTCCCTTCCCCAATGTGTCCAACTATCTCCCTCCTACTCTGTCCACTTTTGGATGATCCCTAAAAACTCATCTCTTCAGAGAGGCCTACCCAGCCACCACCTAGCAACTGTACATGTATTTTCTCAGTCAGCCCATCCCCCACAGTTATTATCTTTTGTATCAATTGACCCTCCCTCTACAATTGTAAGCTCTCTGATCCCTCCTGTATTAATTTGTATTGTAATTGTACTGTCAGCCCTAATGTTGGCGCTATATAAATCTTGTATTATAATTATAATAACAATAGATGAAAATAATTATATTCCCCAGGTTGCTTGATCAGCTCAGATCAGGTTATAACAACAGCTTTATTAAGGTTTTTCCAAGTTTAATGGTACAGTCACTCTGAAGTAAGTCCTAGTCACCACACTAGCTATTGGTCCCTTATAACTGCAAAAAAGAAAAAACTGGGTGCAAACATCTAATGTATTACCAATGGTTTATTTAGAAAAATAGAATATGCAAAAAAAAAGGTACTCACAAAGGTACAAATGTGAGAGTGCTAAAGACCACTAGACACCATACAGTGCACGATAAGTGTACTCAAACAACACCCCGCTAGGCTGGTCAACTGACACATTTCAGGGGTTCACCCTATTCTTCAGACCTTATCTTAGCTCTGAAGAAGGGGGTGTGCCCCTGAAATGCGTCAGTTCACCAGCCTAGCGGGTGTCGTTGGTGTTGTCACAATTTTTTGCATTTAAGTTTTCTCAAAATGGACTACTTACATTACTTACCTGTAATGAAGCACTGTATGTTCAATGTTGCCCAAGCAGCTAGAGAAATCTTCACTGCAGAGATGACTGTCCCTTTTCTGTTTCTAAATTTCTGGTTCTGCAATGGTTAACAGGTTCAAGTTTTTAGGCAAAACAGCAGTGTACATAGTTCACCTTCCTCTTCCTCCAGGGAGGAGTTCTTTCATTGATAAGACTGCTTGCAAAAGGATCTGTCAATGGGGGGAAAGTATCATCAATCTCATCAGTCATAGGATTCATCCCCACATTAATAGATCCTATTACAATCAATGTACTTAATGACAGGACTTACTCAATGGCGAATGAGGAAGGAGAAGTCATGTCCCAAACAAACAATTTGTACTGATGTTCTCCCTGAAGACCCGAAGTGTTTAAGGACTGTATCTCTGGAAATTAAGAGACAGGAAAACTGACAGATAACCCAGCAGTGAGGATTTCTACAGGATTCAGCTGTCTACACAACATGGGACAAGCTTCATTATAGAAAAGTGATACAACTAGAGCCATAGGGAATTTTATTTTAGCCAAACTTCATCTTTAAGTGAATTGAATTTTAGCAGATCACTGATAAATTGTTTGAAATTCATTTGGCAGGTGACCCTGGGGTTATTTACTAAAGCTAGAGAGTGTAAAATCATGCTTACTTCTACACAAACCAATCAGCTTCTAACCTCTAACCTCAGCTTGTTCAATTAAGCTTTGGCAATAAAATCTGGAAGCTGATTGGTTCTATGCAGAAATCAGATTTTTCAATCTCCAGCTTTAGTAAACAAACCCCACTGTCAGCACAACCTAGCTCGACAAAAGCAATTGACGTTTGTTGAAGGAGCCATGGGGCAAAAAAATCTAGGTTGAGCAGTGCCTGTACCTATCAGATGCAGTCAATGTGTGGGTATTTTGACAGCTGTCAGAATACAATAGCCATGACTGCAGATTTGTTCATCCATGCGATTTAGTGGGGATGGGGGGAATTAATTAAAGTTCATCTTTTTTTTTTTCTAAAGTTCAACTTTCCTTTATACCAATATACAGAGGCATGGCTACATGGCAACCTGAACTGACGTCAGAGCCAGAACTGGAAGTGGCATGTTGGAGGTGGCTGTGAGTTCTAGAGATTGTGAGATATTGATGCTAGCACTTCAACTACATTTTTTCAGCACTGAGCTTGAGATGAGCACTTTTTACCTTTACTTTTGTGAAAGGCCTTTTTTTTCAATAAAGAGCTGTTTTTTAATTTTACTACGCTATTGCAGGATATTCTGTTTCCTTCATATGTGTTGTTACTAATGAGCCAGATGGAGGAATGATGTACTAGCACTCCAGGAGACCTGTGGAGAAAGCAAGCGTTATATGAAGATCATGCAAATGAGAAGCATGGGAATCAGGTGAGTTTCTCCAAGAGGGAGAGGTGTATTACATTCATAAGTGGTGACCACAGAAAATTTCTGATGGACATTTATATTGCTTTATCATATTTCATGAACTTTTTGCACAGTTTTCAGTATGTTGGTATTAAATAGTTGATGTGTCACCAGGGGCGGACTGACCATTTGGAAACTCAGGCACTGCCCGAGGGCCCGGGGTCAATAGGGGGCCCCATGAGATGCCCCTGGTACCTTGTTCATAGGCTTTTTTGAGTTTGGGCAAGGACACAGGGGCCCCATGATCCCCTATTGCCCGGGGGCCCCATGAGTTGTCAATCCGCCCCTGTGTATCACAGTGCTGCTTTAAAATTGGAGTAGCAGTGGAGTGGTACTCCTATTTTAGGTTCTATGGCAGTATACCATTAAGATAAACTTAGCCTTTACCATTGCAAGCTTTAAAGTGTTACTAAACCCATAACAGTAAAATCAGTCTGTATATGCAGTAAAGCATGCTTGTTATGCTCACTGTGGAACCTAAGGGGTTAATCCTCCACATTGTGTAAAAAAAAAAAAAAAAAAAAAAGTTGTTTGATCCTTACTTCTCTGATCCTCCCCCTCTTATCTCCTGATAAGACATATTGTGTGGAGTCACTCTGCACATGCTAAGTTTGGTATGTATTGCTAGAGATTTTTTTTTTCTTGGGAGAGTGCAAGGGATCAGCACAGGGCCAATCAGCACTGTCCAGACAGAGGTCAGGGGTTATGCAGCCTCCTAGAGCAAAATTAAAACTCCTACAAGCTTTAACCAGTGCTTGGGTGAACACTGATAGAAGTCACAAGACTGCTTTAACTGCTGATGAGAAAAGGTAAATTTTGTAAATAAGTGATTTTTCTCCTTCACTGATGTGCGCTAATGAGGCTGCAGTGATGGGCACTGATAGGCTGCACTGATGGACACTGATAGGTGGCACTGATGGGCACTGATGAGGAGGCACTGGTAGGTTGCACTGATGGACATTGACAGGCATCACTGATGGACACTGAAAGGCAGCACTCATATATGGCACTGATAGGCAGCACTGTTAGGTGGCACTGACTGGCACTGTTAGGCGGCACTGATAGGCAGCATTGACGGGCACTGATAGGCGCACTGATGCACACTGAGAGGCGGCACTGACGGCACTGACAGGTGGCACTGACAGGTGTCACTGATTGGCAGCACTGATAGGTTTCACCGACTGGCACTGATGGGTGACACTGAAAGGCCGCTCAGATGGGCACTGATATGTGGCATTGATGTGCACTGCTAGGCATTGATGTGGCACTGATGGGCACTGGCAGGTGGCATGGATGAGCACTGACAGCTAGCACTGATGGACACTGACAGGTGGCACTGCTGGGGCTACACAGATCATCAGGGCACACTGATCATCAGTGCCCGGATGATCAGTGCACATGTCCCCTCTGAGGGATGCCAATTACCGGCTTTGCTCTCCTCTGAGCTATCAGCATGACAGTTTGTGAGGAGAGAAATGCTGATAACCGGCATTTCCCTATTTACATGCGATCAGCTGTGATTGGACACAGCTGATTGGACAGAGCTGATCACACGACCAAGCTGACATCTTTAGCTCTTTCCATTGATCGGTAATCCGCTGTGTCCAAGGGACACAGCGCACCACCGATCGCCACGCTGTGTGCTCCCAGAGCCGCGCATGTGCGGTTAGAATGGGAAGACGTCATATGACATCCTCCCAGAACGAGAGAACCACCTTGCGCCCATCATTGCACTATATGGAGGGCAGGAGGTGGTTAAAGCTGAATTCATGGCACAGAAACTTAACACTTTGTGTACACTAAATGCCTTTGCAAACCTTGTAAATGTAGAAGCGACATCATCAACGTACTGTACACAGCCTTTGCAGAGTGCACAGCTGAGGGAGGGACCCAGCAGGCTCCACCCACTACAGGCTGCCTGCAGAAAAATGCAGGAGGGGGCAGAGGCAAGACCAGTCACCCTGCACAAGGAGAGAGACCAGAAGTGACTGGTCTTGATAACAGGAAGTTCCTGCACAGGCAACTTTGCACACTGGATTACTGCACAGACCTGGAAGAAATATGCAAAGCACACCAAGATTCAAGCCAAAAACTAAAATAATTGCACTTCCATGTTCTGTGAAATGTGGGAGACCAGATAGAGTGAATGCAGGGTCCTGGGTTTAGTAACACTCTAAGTCATTAATAGATTCCAGAAGTACAATCCAAACACAAAACAATCCTTTTCTTTACACTCTATAAATATACAAACCTAGGTTCCCTAAACATGTATGTGCATAGAGTAGGAAAACTATAAAAATACAATAACTACTATAAAGAATCACATTGCTTATTCATTATAACATTTGTAATTAAGTATATTCCGTGGTGCGCAAGCAGCTGGAGAAATCTTTGCTGCAGGGAAGACTGTCCCTTTTCTGTCTCTGAGTTTCTGGTGCTGAAATAGTTAACTAGTATAAAAAATCTCACTGCTTCTTCAATCTAAGTTGCACGTATCCATTGTATAGTCAGACCTGTTTCCTTTTATCTAGTTCACACCCATTGGTATTTAAAGTGAAATGAAAATTTTGCTCCTTGTGGTAAAAGAAAAATTAATTAAGGTTTAGACTTATAAAGAAGAAAACACTGAGCGATTACTACTGTAACTAGTAAAGAAAGGGTCAACAAAAGATTGTTTATTAAGCTGACAGTCACCAGCTAGAATGAAAAGATGAATTATCTCACTTGAAGAACTGCATGGAAAGATTAAAACAATTCACTTAAGCATTACGCATTAAGCATAAACAAGCACACGTTTTTTTTTCTGTTTGCCCCTTAAAGAAATTCTTATTCCAGTGAGGTGAATCTAAGATACCATTGGTTTGGAAAGTGTTACAAAAAATATTTTTTCCTTAGAATTTGTATTAAACCAACCACATTGTGTGTTTATCTCAAAATCTACATCATAAAATTTACAAGATTGTGCTGTCATATAATCTGTTTAAACAGTCATCTATATTCTTATCTCCTCTCTGCTCATTATTCTGATGCTGAATCTATCATAAAATGAATTTAGAATTGGGCAAAAGTGTTCAAGTTTATACATCCTTGTCTTGCTTTCTGGCAAATACCTAAGAAAAAAATATTTCTTTTGACTGAATCAGTAAAGCTCTATATAATATCAAAAAAAACCTTTTCAAATGTTGAATTATTTCTTTCTGGAGCTGCAGTTATCCTGTATTTTGCATTGTAATGTAGATGTGCAAGTTCCCCCTCAGGTTATCAGCTAAAGAGAAAGGTAGGATATCTCTATTTTTGTCTATTACAGTCAAAGGCATCAATGCTGGGCTTACTTTATTCTCACACTACACTGTGAAGAAACATCTACTTTATTGGCCACACTTCTAGGTGATCATCAAGAGACGTTCTTCGCTAGCTGCATTTTTCAACTTGATATCTTCAAGGCATCCTTCCTAACTATGCGTGCATATCTTGGTACATCCCATTTAAATTTGTTTTTTTTTAACCACTTCCCATCTGGCCGTTGTATATAAATGGCCAGACGGTGGCAGTGCAGGGGCGGGTGGCCATTTATAAACGGCCTCCCCGCTCCCTGCATGTGCACGCTTCCTGTGTACATCAATCGTTGTACGGGACCTCTGTGCGAGGTCCCAATAATGTGATGAAGAGTAGTAAGCAATGATGTCACTTCTGACATCATTGCTTACTACGTATGAAATCTATGAATGATCACAGAGGTCACATGGTACAACGTTATTCACAACAGCCTTGTACCAAGTGACAAGCTGTGACCAATCACAGCTCACACAGTATTTCTCAATGGCTGCAAGAATGCAGCCAGAGAGAAGGAGAAATTATTGCTTTTACAGCCTTTATGGGTGTAAAAGCAAAAAGTGTAAAAAAAAAAAAAATCTTCATAACCCCCCACAAGTAGTACAGTATCACCATGGTGACACTGTACTGCTAGGGTGACAGTATGTAAAAAAAAAAAAACATAAATAGTAATATAAAGAAATAAAATAACAATGTAAAAAAAAGTTTTAAAACTTATATTTTTTGGTTATAAACTAATTTGGGTTACTTTTTTTTTTTTTTTACTACAAAGATAACTGAATAAATTTTGGCCAAGATTTATGAAGAAAGATGATTTATTTGCATAATTTTATAAGAAAAACACTTTTTTTCTAAATTTTTGGACTTTTTCATTTATATAGCAAAAAAAATTAAAATCCCAGTGGTGAATAAATACCACCAAAATAAAGCTTTATCTGTCTAAAAAAATGCTAAAATATTCATATAGGTACAGTGTTGCATGACCACACAATTGTCATTCAAAGTGTGATAGCTCTGAAAGCTGAAAATTGGCCTGGACAGGAAGGGGGTAAAAGTGTCCAGACTTGAAGTGATTAATGCCTTAAATGTCTGCTTCTTTCTCCAAACGTCTGTTTGAGGGTATATTAAGCTAGGGGGCATTACTTTTTGGATGTAGCTGCAAACAACACAAGAAAAATGCAATAGAAATATTATCTTTAAATCCTGTAGGACTGTTCACACCACTGCACTGGGGGTGTGGTGCATTTTGAAAAGTCCTACATACTGCATCTTTGGGGCGCTTTTCAGAACCACCCCAAAACGCAGCTCCCAATTGAAATGAATGGAAGAGACATCGAAAACAGCAGTTGCTTTTTGATGCCGTTTATGAGTCTCATGTCCATGTTTCACAGGCGGATGCCAACCAGAGATTGCACTGGAAACACATCAAAAATGCATATGTGTTAAAGGTGTGAAAGCACCCTTATTTTATTCAGGCTTTTAGTGTTTATGTTTTTTCCCTTTTTTGTGTATTTGATCTTCACGTGTGTGCTGTCACTTTATTTTTCTTTCTGAAGAAAAAGGTAATAATGAGGCTAATGAGGAGCCATATTTTGGCACAAAAACTGTACTAGGATAATTGAAAAGAGTCATTTCATCCTACTGTACTGTCATCCTTATTTGTTAGAGTTATATTTGAATGTCTATAACTGGATCAGCACACAGGAAAAATAGGAATTATTAAGTATAATCGGTGTAGAATTTATAAGCTTTGGTTACCGCCATTCAGTGTTTTAAGGTAATACAAACAGTCTTTCATAGACTAGCACCCAGTTCCTGTGTTTTTTTAAAAAAAAACAAATATTAGAAAAATGTAATTTTGGTATTCATTTATGTGAATTTTTATCTTCTGTATCTCTTGTTTTTGTTTTCTCATTTGTTCTTTTGCTCCGGAAATGTTGTTGCTAAATCTCCAGAAAAAAGCTGCCTGTTAAAAGGTAGCCATCAAATTGTCACAGATTTGCAACATTCATAATGCTTCTATATTTTAAAAGTAATGGTTGGATCTCATGCAACAGTTATCCCAGGCAGAAAAAAAGCTTTTACCGTCACCGTCTACTTCTAAACTTAGGTTAGTTTTACAACTTAAGGATCAACTTAAAGTACTAGAGGCTAGTTCTGCAGTGAAAGGATTGTTGTGTTTGAAACAGAGATTCTATCAATATACTAATAAACCACATAGATTGTTGGTTACCAAATTGAAGGCGAACTCAACTAGTACTGCGCCTGAATTTTTGTTTCAAACAGATGGCACTCCCACGTTTTGTCTTCAATGGATAGCCCAAGTTTTTGGTGATTTTTATCGTAACCTTTATAATTGTTTATCCCCAGACCTGCACCCAGTGTTTAACAAAGAATCCCTTGATGCTTTCATATCTGCTCTCCACCTTCCCAAACTTAAGCAGGAAGACAGACTGATCTTAAATGCCCCTGTCAGCATGGAAGAATTATGTGTTAATGAATTGCCGATGCAGAAGGCACCAGGTCCTGATGGGTTTTCTTATGCTTACTATAAGCAATTTATTGTGGACTTGGGTCCTGCCCTGTTGGACTTATATTCTTCTCTGATGAAAGGAAAGGAGCCTCACCCGCACTTCCAACATTCCCATATCACGGTCATTCCAAAGTTAGGTAAGAATCCAGCCGCCCTGGCCAATTACAGTCCCATAGCCTTACTGATC